CGAAAAGGACATAGTTGTAGAATTAGTATTCTAAGCACTCAGAGAAAAATTTTATTTATATATATATTTTTTTAGGTCAACTATTAGCATACTGGAGACACTACTGTGTCTCTTGATATATTATATATATATTTATATAAAATCATATATACGAAGATAGTCTGAAAAGTTTTGAGCCTTAACATGAAGATGACGTTACTCGTCAAAACCGTTCTAGTACTACAACAGTATATGCTTTAAAAGACTTTTGTAAAAATTTCAGCTATTTTGGACGCTCAGTTGTTGTTTGACAGTCGTTTATGTCAGTCGATGTCAGTGTTTTTGTAAAAATAAAAAAATTGAATATCGTGCCGTGATTAAATTCTTACATTTGAAAGGCAATACGCCTGCGCCAATTAAAATGTCGAGTTGGACGCTGTTTACGGGGACTCTGCCCCATCATTTGCCACCGTAAAAAGATGGGCTAAATTTAAACGTGGTCGTACCAGCTTGGCTGGATGATGAGCGTTCGGGACGGCCAAAAACTGCGACCACCGCTGATAACATCGAAAATGTTCACCAAATGGTACAGGACGACCATCGAATCAAGGTTAGAGAGATAGCAGAAGCTATGGGCATATTGAAAGAACGCGTTTGTCATATATTGACTGAAGAATTGGATATGCGCAAGCTATCCGCCCGTTGGATACCGCGCTTGCTCACTTTGGACCAAAAACGAATTCGAATGAATTTTTCCAAGATCTTGTTGGAACGGTTCAAGCGAAACGAGTCAGATTTTTTGCATTGATTCATAACTGTAAATGAAACTTTGATCCACCACTACACTCCAGAGACAAAAGAACAGTCAAAACAGTGAACTGCAAACGGTGAAACTGCAAAGGGTGAACCTGCTCCGAAAAAGGTGAAGACGGTTCCATCAGCTGGGAAGGTAATGGCGATTGTTTTTTGGGATAGTCACGGAATTGTGTGTATCGACTATCTTGAAAAAGGTAAAACAATAACGGGAGCGTATTACGCATCATTATTTGATAAGCTGAAGGCAGAAATTGCAAAAAAACGGCCGCATTTGAAGAAGAAGAAAGTGCTGTTCCATCAAGACAACGCATCTGCTCACACTTCGGCGGTTGCCACGGCTAAAATTCACGAACTGCACTTCAAATTGGTTGACCACCCACCGTATTCACCAGATCTGGCCCCCAGCGACTTTTTCCTGTTTCCTAAGCTTAAAGTTTCGCTTGGAGGACAGAGATTTTCATTGAACGAGGAAGTCATCGCATATGTAAACGCCTATTTTGAGGAGCAAGACGCTATGCTATTTGGAGGGGTTAAAGAAGTTAGAGTATCGATGGGAAAGTGTATCGACTTAAAAGGAGATTATGTTGAAAATAAACTATATTTGACCGAAAAATACTTGTTTCTATGTTAGGCTCAAAACTTTTCAGACTACCCTCGTATATATATATATATATATATGTATACACAGTTCTTTAGCGCTATAATATACAAAACAGCTGCTACAACATATATATTAGTTGTACAAAAAAGTCGTGAGCTTTAGATTTCATACAACCGAAATAACAATTTAAATTTTATATATCTTCCCGCCCTTTTGCGGTTTTAAAGCGTTGACATTTGGCCTTCTAAAATGCATACGGTTTGGCGTTTGATGCATATAACCTCAAAAATCAATACTATTCACGATGGCAATAATAAAAGAGCATATTCAATTTTCCATCCACTTCGCGTTTCATCTAAAGAAAAATGCAGCTGAAGCCACTGCAATGATTTGTGCTGCATATGGAGAGAACGCTGTAAGTCATATTACATGTAAAAGATGGTATCAAAAATTTCGCCAAGGAGATTTCAGTCTTGAAGATGAATCGCGTGCTGGACGCCCTCAAAAGATTGAAACGGACGAATTGCAAGCACTGTTGGATATAAACTCTGCGCAAACTGAAAAGGAGCTTGCAGAACAGCTTGGCGTTACGCAGCAAACCATTTCCGTACGTTTACATACGATGGGAAAGGTTCAGAAGGAAGGCAGGGTTCCGTATGAATTGTCCGAAGACAACAAAAATCGTCGGCGTGACACTGCACTCACTTTGCTTTCAAAGTTCCGAAAAAAAGATTTTCTGCACAAAATCATTACAGGCGATGAAAAGTGGATTCTTTATGGTAGTCTTAAACGTAGAAAATCATGGATTGACCCTGGTCAACCTTCGATATCGACGCCAAAGCCCAATATCCACGCCAAGAAGGTTTTGCTCTGTATCTGGTGGGATTGGAAAGGTGTGTTATATTACGAGTTGTTACAATCGGATGAAACAATCACGGCAGACCGCTACCAACAACAATTGACCAATTTGAGCGATGCATTAGAAGAAAAGAGGCCATTTATTGGCCAAGGACGTCGTAAAGTGATCTTGCTTCATGACAATGCTCGACCACATGTTGCGAAAGCGACTCAGGACCATATCTTTGCGTTAGGCTGAGAACTTCTCCCGCATGCGGCATATAGCCCAGACATATTATCGACGCCTTCCGATTACTACCTATTCCGGTCGCTGCAGCATCATTTTGCTGATTTCGTGAGATTTAAAGAGATAGAAAATGCATTGACGACTTTATCGCTTCGAAGCCGGTGAGCTTCTATCGTCAAGGAATTCGCAAGCTACTCGAAAGATGGCAAAAGGTCGTTGATGAGTAGGATAACAAGGGAGGCTCTAATCCCCTCGGGGCATCAAGGGGGGGAGAGAGGCGGCGGGGAAGTCGTAGAATCTCCAGGGGGTTCGTATTCGGAGGAATATCCTCCTGAGTCGGTAAGGATGGTTTTCTTTCCTCAGGGGGTTCGTAACCAGGGGAGAGAAGATGGATCCCTCTGGCGGTCGTGGAGGTACGTTTATCCTCCTCGGTCGGTAAGGCGGTCGCGGGATTTCCCCGGGTCGGTTTTCCCTGTCTTCGATGCCGCCCTAGCGTTTTCCGCGCGGTCTAGCGTTTTCCGCGCAGTCTAGCCCTTTTCGCGTAATCCCGGGCGCGTCTTCGACGCCCTAGCGTTCGTCTTTCGCGGGGTGTGGCGCTTCCCGCGTTGAGCGTTTTCCGCGGGGGGGGGGGTCTGGCGCGTCCTGTTTCGCGGGGATGCCGCGGTTTGTTACATCGCCTTAGTTTGTGTCCGTGTCTAGACGTTGTTTGCAGGATGCCGCGGTTTGTTACGTCGCCTTAGCATTTTCCGCGGGGTCTAGCGTTTTCCGCGAGGTTTAGCGCGTCCTGTTTGCGGTTTGACACGTTTTTTTTACGCCGCTTTAGAGTATTTAACTAGGAGTATCGACGATATATTGTTTGCGAGATGGAGAGTCTAATGTTCCGGAGAGTCAGTCTAATGTTTCGGAGAGTCAATTGAAGGATCCGGAGATAATATCGCTCTTAAACGATTCGCTGGAGCTCTCGAGAGAGATGGAACGCGAGATAGTGGAATGTGAGAAACGCGCGATGACGATGGAACGTGAGAAATGGCCTACGATCGAGCAGGAAGAGGAGGACGAGATATCGGCGAAAGCCGAGAGCGACGCGGTCGACTTGCTCGAGTTGATGCGCGCGATGTCTATGCATTCGACGGTGTATAATTTGCGGCTGATGATGGCGTTTCTGTCTAAACATCTGGCGCTTCGTCAAGGAAGGGAGCCGATCGCGCGTATACGCGAGGCCGAGCGTATGAGGAACGCTATACGTATCGTCACCGACATGTGGAGTCGAAAGGGTCCGTGGGACTCGTACTGTTCTGGGGAGAGCATGGTTCACTTGGTCGAGAGTTCCGCGACGCCGGACGAGCGCGCGTCGCTTATGGATCGAGATAACGAGGGAGGCTTCCTCGAGTTGGATACGAGATTACTGGGAGTATCTGGCGCATTTGAAAACGACGAAGGGGGATCTCGACGACGAGTACGAGATATCTTGCGCGTCTGAATACTGTGAGGAGGAATGACGAGAGTTGTGGCAGTGGTTTAGACGTGTTGTTCGCGTCCCTATCTGGAGACAAAGAGGAGGCTGACCGATTCGTTCAGTACGTGACGAAGTTGAAGGGTGGACGACAACTCGAGATCTCCGGGCGAGAAAGGGATCGATTGCGAATTGGTTCGATTGTACGTGTACAATGTTAAGGATATAGTCAAAAAGAAGAGACAACTGGTGGAAATACGCGAAATTAAGAATTCAATTTTTGAACTCCGCGTCGGATCGGAAAGAGTTGATGCGACAGTTGATGGATCGAGTCGCCGATGACCTGGGGAGAGTGCCCGGAGTGCGCGGGGAAGCGAGAAGCGTCGCGTGCGACAGCGAGTACGGATGTATTGCTATGACGCTCGCGAATTATCGCCAGAGGCATCGATTGTGGCGAAGAGCGCGAATTTGCGCGAGTATATGTCTATGTAAAAGAGTATGTATTATATTAATATGTCTATGTAAAAGAGTATATACTAATATGTATACTAATTACTGATATGAATATATGTATAAGAATATGTACACGAATATGTATATGAATATATGTGTAAGAGTATGTGTACAAATATGATTCCAAGTAATAAAAACAACGAATATATGTACGAGATATGCTGAAATAAAGAAAAAAAAAGAACAATGCGAATTGTCATTAACACGCATCGTTGTTGCGACGATTAACTAACCGCGAGAGACGGAGTTTTTTCTTCGTTTGTTTGCGTATCGCGAGGCGAGAGGCGGATCAGCGACGCGCCGGAAGTCTTCAATTAGCGATACCGAGGATGACGTAATATTATTGGGAACGTATGAGAGACGAGAGTGGGAGTCGCGCAAGAAGGAAATTGTCGTTGGAGTATTAACGAGGGAATATTTCATTAGGAATGTAAATGTTGTGCGATGCGTCATTTTCGCGCTCGCTACGCGTGACTACAGGAAGTCTGATCGCAACGGCGATAGAAGATTAGTCTATCGTTTATTTCATCGTTCTTTATTTGTTTCTATTCTATCGCTATTCTATCGTTGTTATGCTTTTACTTTTTGTTCTTTATTATGTACTTTCAATGATATTGCGTATGAGATCTTTAGCGAAATCGCCATTCGTTGGCGTGTAATCATGCTACGAGAGATCTTATATTTGGGCTCATTCGACGAGAATAATCTCGCACAATAGAGAATAGAAATTAAGCGGTTGAAATTTCCGATTCGCGATTCAGATCGATTCATCGCGTCGGTCTCCGCCCTCTTGCGACCGACGGCAACATCGATCGAGCGGTTCGCGCGTATTTTGGTCAGCGACGTGCAGTGTCGATTCGACTCCCGTCTCGCGCGGAGACGCTCGCGCGCGGGATCGCCGTGATCGCGTGTGCGATAACCCTTATCGCGGCGATTCGCGACTCCGCCACCGATAGCGATGAGGAGGCGATTCGATTTTTCCAGGGCAAACCTACGGATACCTGGACGACGATAACATGCAAACGATATCCGATAACGCGACGTTGGCTCTGAGACACGCGATTGCGCTTTTCCAGGAGTATCTGGCGTTCTTAATGAAGCTACATTGGAACAGATGCGTAAACCGCAATGCAGTGTCAAAGATATATCGAGTGACTTGGACAAGTCTCCGAGGAAATGGGCGAAGACGCATCTCGCTTGGAACTTTTACCTAGCGAGCGAGAGCGTTCTACGAGTCACTGAGGTCGAGATGTGGGCTGTGAATTCGTCGCTGATGTTCGAGCGCGATTCGATGAATCCCGTGATATCGGAAGGGTTTTCACACGTTCGTAGATCCTCGACATCGAGGTAGCCGAATATGTCCGTCGTTGCTGGACGGACCAGGAAACGTGCTAGCTCACGCTTTTTTCGGACCATCGTCCGAAGTGTCGGAGGTGCACGTGGATAACGCGGAGAAGTGGCATATCGAGCTGACCGCTAATCCTGATGATACGATTCATCTGCTACATACGTTGACGCACGAGATCGGTCACGCGTTAGGATTACATCACAGTCCTCAGAAAAATGCGATAATGTACACCTTTGTATCCTCTAAGACCTTTCCCGTGCGATTGAGGCGGATTTTCTCGCCATTCAGAATTTATACGGTTTAAGAAATAAGAGCGAAATTGTGAGACGAGCGACGACGACCGTAACGACGACCACGATCGCGACGCACGACACGGGGGATTCCGCGGATCTGTGCGCGTTGCGACGCGTCGACGCGGTGTTGGTGTTAGAAAATAGAATGTACGTAGCGTATTGACGCCACATGGTCGGTCGACTTAAACGGAAAATCTTACGGTAGGTCGTTGTTACTGACGGACTATCTGCATTTTCTTCCCGATAATTTTACGCATTTGGCAGGCGCGTTTCGACGACCCTCGGGCCAACTCGTATTGTTCGTAGACGATACGGTTTACATGGCAGAATATCCGAGTTTTGAGCTAGTACCAGGTTGGCCAAGGAAACTGAGGGATATGAATCTTCCTCCTAACGCGAAAATCAACGCTGTAGTTAATACTAACGCGGGACGAACGTTCGCGATTTACAACGACGAGATCGTGGCCGAGATCGACGACTGCTCGATGATAGCCGTCAGACATAACTCATTGCATACGATATTTCCAGAGATTCCACCCGATGTAACGTCCGCCGTTCGATACATCGACGATAATCTGTACTTTCTCGTTAAATGACAATTCTTCAAGTACAACGAATTTACCAGAAGTGTAACTATGGTAAATTCGACTCGGAGATTTTTGGTATCGTGTGTCCAAGGAACGGACTGTTAGAGCAATTGCGCGCTCTTTTGAAAAGACTCACTCAGATGAGGAACGTATTTTCGAGCGAGGACGATTTAGAAGAGGAGAGGGAGAAGGAAGAGGCACGGAAGTTTTCGTATAATGTATAGAGCGAAGGATACGAAACGTTTACGAACAATATCGTGCGATTTCTTCGATCGTAAAGATGTACGATATCGAGCACTCGCAGGATTCCAAGACGCGTCGAGTCGATGAAAGCGACGACGCGAGAAGGAGGAAGAGGACGCTCGACGATGACAGGCCAATCGCGTCGAGTCATAACAACGCCGGTTGTACAAATAATCCAGTTAGAATTCTAGAACGAAAATATCCCTTGACTAAGACGGGATACAAGTTTCTCAATGTATGTGTCACTCTTGAACGTTCTTCGCGCGTGAATATTATCCTGGGAGATAGTCATGGCAAGGAGGTCTCGATATCGCCCGATATGTGGAGGCAGCTTGTCGAGCAACGACACGTTCTCTCGAAGTATCTGCAGAGTACCAACGGAGAACCGTCCTTTCCAACTCCGTCACATATTGGAAATATGACTGTGCGTTTCGGAAAAATCAACAACTTGACGATATTACGCCTGGAAACGTCCGCGGCTTGCTTGGCCATGTCAAAGGAAACAGTAAATAACATGTTCGAGCTCGAGCATTGCGTCAGCCGACTCGTTATCTCGTTGACCAAGATATTAGGAAAAATCGATGCAAAATTGGCGCAATTCAAGGATATCGCGTTCACCGTTAAGGATACGGAAAATATCTCGAGAGTCATACGCGATAGCGATGCCTTTGATCGTAATAACATTATCGATTGCAAACTCGTTGCTCTGTACTTTGGGATGTAAGATTGAGACGAAATAAAGTGAGATATATTGTAAAAAATGTTTTTGTTATTTGTATTTCCTCAAGCATGTATATAAATATAGCGAGCGATAAACGAATTCGATTATAGTATAAGTAATGAATCTAATTATAATATATAAGCACTGAATCTGATATAATAATTTAAAACAATCTAATATGATACAATAATTGAAAACAATCTGATATATGATATAAGTCGTTAACGCGACATTACAATTCGGTGATACATTCCTGTCGTTTCGACCACCAGTCGTACAGTTTGCACACGTTCTCCATAGCGCAATGCTTCGTGTGACGCTCGCAGTGGAATGCTCGAACGTCGTCCAGGGTGCTTAGACGCCCTATATCCTTGAAATCCGCGTCGATAGTCTCGACGATCATGTCATGGTCCGCGATGACGTCGCAGCCGAGAATCTCCTCTAACCATTTCTTTTTTTCCTAAGCTTTTGTACGTACACTCGTTTAGACGCGTCTCGCGATTGATCGCACACGCCGTTTCGAACGTGCTTCGAGAGTATGTATGCGACGTCGCCGTCACTCCACTGCCGTGATGATTGGAGGTTATCCAGCACACTTTAGATTTTTCTGTCTTGTAAGAAGATTCCAGGGTATCGCTTCTCGAAACATTCGATCAGCTCTTTTCTATTTTTTAATATCGCTACCTCTTTAACCATAAATTTCTCCCGAACGGTAAAACCTTGCAGATCGACGAAGATCGGTACGTTCGGCATCATTCTCGCATGGGGAAAACCGCGATTATGTGAGTTTACGTACGACGTTCGTCAGCGGGTTATACTCTATAACTCTATCGTGAATGATGAGACAATAAGCCGTTGTGTTAACCGGAACGGTCTCTTTGCATTCGAATTCTACGCGAATGTCGACGGTGGTGCTCTTGATCGATTCGTTCTGACGGGAGCAATCGATGACCACGAGCGGATCGTATTGCAGAAATCTAGTGACAGTCATGAACGGTTCGCAGATCTCGCACTCGTAATATGTTTTTCGAAATTTCAGATACATATCGTATAGCACTGCGAACTTGTTACGCTCGAAATTTAGATTTATATCGTCGTAGGGATAGAACTTGGAATTCAAATAGAGTTTTACATTAGTCAGCTTGCAATCGTCGAATTTAGAAACGTCTTCCGACGGTACATTTTTCCTTCTGTAGCGCGAAAATCACGTATCGCGGTTTCTCCAATTGCATCGTCGCTTTTACCGCCCAGGAATGCTTGGTCATACTTTGCAACAGCGTAAATTCGTACAGATCCCACGAACGAAAGCCCATGCTCAGATATCGTCCGCTGTCGTTCGCAGAAGCGACAGTTTGTTAACGTCATTCAATATCACGTGTGGCATTCGCCACTGTATTCTCAACAACGTGATCTTCGGTCTCTGATCTGAATGCGCCATGACGCAATTGTTATCGTTGCGAGCGCGTATCAGAATGAGTTCGTGTCGCGCATTTATCACTATGCGTTTGTAATCCTCGCAGAAATCAAGGAGTACGTTAAGAGATACGCAAAAATTGAAATCGTCTAACGCTATAGATGGTATTTCCCATCCGGTATTCTGTAAAGCTCTCGTAGCTCAACGATGCGTAGTTTTTCATCAAGGTCGTTATGCCGACATTTCTGTTCTTATTGATCTCCACGCTATTGAGCTCGTATCGAATCTCGTCGAACATAAACGCAGTTGTTGATTAGCTTCGCTCTCTTAACTTCCTTCGCCGTGCCTTCCTTCGCGCTCTCTCTCGTCGCGAATTTTCCCTCGATGTACAGAAAACTTTCGCACGGCAACATGTACATATCCTGTTGTTATAGGATATATAGGATATATATAGGTATTCATATCTCATCGCTGTATCTGAACGTGATGTTAGCATACGGATTATAAGTGTGGGTTTTCGTGCTCGCGGCACGCCGCGTCCAACGGGTTTACGCCTCGATCGCCGTGCGCCAATCGCTTCGCGAGATGAGCCCGCAAAATTGATACCCGGGAATATGTAGTTCGAAGGGAAGCGCGTTTATCGTATCGAGTAATTCCGCGCCGCTAAGCATTCGTTACAATTTTTAATAAGAGGCGCAGGACCGTCTATATGCGATCATTGCTACGGACGATTATAGTATTTCAGACACACGCGACAACATTGCACCTCGGGGTCCACTCTCAGATGATCGAGTAATCTGTTCCACAGCAGCTCCACGTATCTGTCGAAATCACGCACGAGAACGAACTTCGGGATAAGTCGCAACTGTTGGACGAATAGATTGAGAATATCGCGTTTGTCCGTCAATAGGAGAAACATATCGATCACTGTGCGCGATCGAATCACTGTCGAGTATAAGTGGAGCGATTATCGGTCGCGTTTCCTCGAAGCGAGCGCGCGTAAATGCGATTCGTTCGACGGTCGCCGGTTATAGGAGTGCCCAATCTCGACCGTAAGGTTCGACGAATCTCGGGCGACGTGGTCGGGAGGGCGCAGACACAGCCCTCTACTACCGAACACGATACGTTGCATCATTTGCAGCCCCTCCAATGGCGGTAAAACGACGTGTTGATAAGCATGCTCGAAAGTCCGCACGGCGCGCGCTTCGAGAACGTGTACGTCTACTCCCTGCAACAACCGAAGTATCAATACTTGAGCAGAGCTGCTCGAGTCGATGGACTGGCTATCGCGCGTTCTCGAACAATAGCGACGTCGTGCCACCGAACGAGACGCTTCCCGATTCGATATTCGTGTTCGACGACAAGCAGAACGCAATCAGAGAATATTTCGCCATGGGTCGACACTCGAACATCGATTGTTTCTATCTTTGTCAAACATACGCTAAAATTCCGAAACACTTGATACGCGACAACGCGAATCTCTTGATTCTGTTTAAGCAGGATGGCACTAACTTAAAGCACATTTACAACGAACACGTGAACACGGATATGTCGTACGAGTATTTTTATGCCTTGTGTCGCGCGTGTTGGAAACGCAAATATAATTTCGTAATCATCGATAAGGACAGCTCGTTAAGGAACGGTAGATACAGACGAGGATTTAATGATTTCGCCGTGGTGTAGAGCGATCAGTTGTGCAACGATGGACGTTAACGCTGCTGCGAGTATGGACGTTGACGCTGCGGCTGGTACGGATGTCGCTCGGCGCGAGAGATCGCGAAGACTCAGAACTCTATACGTAAAAAGTACAGAGAGTTAAAGATCGGTGAGATAGAAAAAAAAATCGCGCTGGAGAGGCGATTCGAGCTCGTTCAGCCGTTGAAACGAATCGCTGAGACGAGTCGACCGAGGGAATCGATCCGATCGCGTTCGTCGGCGCTAAGAGGAAACGCGAGACCGACGACGACGACGAGCTGCCGTCGAGACCGACGAAGAGACGCCTCTCGACGAGATCACCCTTGATCGCGACGGTAAGTTCCGAGACCAGAAACGAATCGGAAGAATCAATTTCGAACGCGCAATGGGGACCAAATTAGGTTAGGTCGCAAATATATGGGCGCGCTTCTAAGCGGGGACAGACAGAGCGAGATCGATCACGTTTACGAGGTATACTTCGACTTGGACGGCTCGATGCTTGGCGACAAGCGATTCGACGTGACCGACGACGACAGCGTGATCGTGGGTGACACGCGATATCCGGGTACCCCGGATTTATACGAATTGATCTTCAAGAGACTTTCCGATGACGCCGAGTATACGGAGAACGACAAGCAAATGTACAAGAGTATACTGTTGACTACGAACGCCCATCGGCGTGGCCACAACGCGCTTATGCCCATTCTAGGAAACAAAGGTTTCAACTACAAGCATATCATCGCGCCGCTATTACTCGGTAGAGACAAAAGTGGTGCTGGTATTGGTAAAGCGAGAAAAAAAGGGATCGACTCTGTTTCATCCGCTATGCGGGACGCTATGAGAGACAAAAAATCGAATACGTTCACTGGGACGATCCCAACGAAGGTCGTCTTCGATTGCTCGATACCTCTCGACCAGCTGGCAACGATGCTCACG